AAATGTATGGAATTGTTATGCTAGAACAGAGTGCAGGTTATTGGGTACTTTAAAGGTTACATAGGAGTCTTTGAGAATAGTGATAGAAATGTAGTGTTAGTCTGGTGTAGCTGTAACAAAAAACAGGACTATGTAGCACTTTAAAGATTAACAAGATGGTTTATTAGGTGACCAGACCCACTTCCTCAGATCAAATAGTGGAAGAAAATTGTCACAACCATATATACCAAAGGATACAATTAAAAAAAAGAACACATATGAAAAGGACAAATCAAATTTGTCCTTTGTAATTAAAGTAATTAAAGGAGACTTTGTAATTAAAAAGTTGTCTGATATTCATTGACCCCATTTGGCCCACATGCCAATGGTATCTTACATTGGAGACCTTTTCTATTATATAAGTGTTCAAATTGGATTATTATTTCTTAAAAAAAAAAATCAATAGAAAGGATCATTTTGATAGACTGAAGTGCAACTAATGTGGTATCATGTTAGGCTGCTGTAAATTTAGTCCAGTTTACAGAGGACAAAGTATTATTAGTATGTTTCAGACAATTTTTCCAAAGCATTGTAAACTAAAGTCACATTTTCACTCACTGCACTAGAGATCGACATTCTGAGGTTCGATTTAGTGAGTCTCGAATGGACTGCTTAATCAAACACTGAAGCAGCTCCAGCCAGCATCTGTTCTCCTTGCAGTTGCGAGGAGTAAGGGAAGCCGACAGAAGCGTTTACTCCCATTGGCCACCTGCAGTGAAGATGGTGCCACACTCACCTTAAGATAAGCAGACTCCAGCTTATGTATTCTATATAGCTGCAGTTGTGTACCTTAAACCAATCTTCCAGGTCTCAATAAGTTAAATCTCCTGCATTCTGTTGTCATCTCTGCCATTAGAAAGCACTATCTGTAGATTAAAAGGGGGGAAAACTAGGGTAGCCTTCTCTCCCCCAACTTCCACCCTCATACGTATAATTTTAGGTTTATTTCCATCTTTGATACTACTTGATATGACTGAAAATGGTGGGCAGCAAGTGATCATATTTTGATATCAGAGGCTTCCTGGAAACAAAAAGTGATGCACATATGCTTGTTCACAGTAAGTAAGTGAATGAGTATTTTAAAAATTAATAAGTTTATATTTAGCTGTAAGACTTCAGTACAGTATCTTTAGTACTTAACAATGATTTACTTAAAGGTGAAAATTAAATTTTGTAATAACTGTTATCTGTGTATCTGTGCACTTTATGAACTAGTACAGAAGGTAAATAGCTGAAAGAAAATCCAGTTTCTAATGTGTTGATAAGAACAATTAAAATAGCTTTTGTGGTTGAAACAAACAAGACCCTTTTGTGGAATGCTAAAAAGGTATTCGTCAACAAATACACTAGAACAAATGTTATGGTCCTTTTGCCTACAAAAGCAAAGGTTAATATCGAAGGATACAAATATATTGTCCTCATCAGTTGACTTTTTATTGTCTTTTACAAATATGTATTTGAGAAACAGCTTCAAAATGTGGTGGTGGTGAGTTTTGACATGACTAGATGATTCATGGGATTGATAATTGTCACAGGACTGAATCAAATTAAAGCTATTTATTTAGGAACACTGAAATTGCTGGATAGAATTCAGACCAGAGGCCATTCAAATCTTATAGCCAATACCAGATGCTTTAGAGGAAGATGCAAAATATCCTGAAATGACCAGTTAGGGAATAAACTGTCTGTTAAGAGAAGTTTCCTCTTTAATACCTTAATTGCAGGTTTGCCTGTCTTGAAAGATAAGGGCTTATATCCCTTTAAAACTTTTTTGGTTGATTTATGTATTGAGATTTGATTTTGTTTGAAATGGAACTAATTTTAATATCTTATGTACATCTCAAAATCCACTAACTTGTTAATAGGTGCCAAGGTTTAGTTTCATGTATTGTAGAAATAGAGAGGATTATACCTGAATAGATTGGAAGAGATTTATTGATGTGAAAAGTTAACTTGATGGGTCTAGTGTGGCTAACCCCAGAGTTTGTATTTGGGGCCTGAAGAGTTGAAAACAACAGTGTCTCTACAGATAGAACAAAATAACAAAACACTTTCATCAGAAGAATAACACAGATCATTCAGCGGATTAGGTACAGAGGGAGATATGCAACACACACTGATCAGTGGGATACACTGCAGTTAGCCATTAGTTTGCACTGACAGGAGCAGATGACTTCTACATTTTAATGAGGACATTATTACATTTAAAAATTGAAGCTTACTTTTTTCATCTTGTTTGAGGTAATTATTCTGAAGACCATAGCTTAGTTTTAGAATGTAAATGATAACATATAAAACAGCATATTTTGTAAAAGCAACACCACTTTAGTTACCCAAGACCTAAAGCTCATGATGCCATCTACATTTTTTTGTTAGTCTCTAAGGTGCTGCAAGACTATTCTTTGTTTAAATTTTTCCTGTTAGAGACTAATAAAAAATTTAGACTTTAAGGGTACATCTACACTTGCTCCCTAGTTCAAGCTAGGAATGCAAATGTAGGCGACCGAAATTGCTAATGAAGCGGGGATTTAAATATCCCGCACTTCATTAGCATGAACTCACCAGCGCATTACTCCGCTCAACAGCTGATTCGAACCAGGAAGTGCGCACCAGGACGCGCTAGTTCAAACCAAACCCCTTGGTTCAAAGGAGTAATGTTAGTCTGAACCAAGGGGTTTGGTTCGAACTAATACGTCCCAGCACGCACTTCCTGGTTCGAATCAGCTGTTGAGCGGAGTAATGCGCTGGTGAGTTCATGCTAATGAAGTGCGGGATATTTAAATCCCCGCTTCATTAGCAATTTCGGTCGCCTACATTTGCATTCCTAGCTTGAACTAGGGAGCAAGTGTAGACCTATCCTTAGATGCTGCAAGACTATTTGTTGTTTTTTAAGTTTTTCTTTTTATCTTGTATTTAATTGCTGGTTAATAAAAATGTCCATGCTGGGGCTAATACCAGATGTGTTAGAGGAGTGAACAGACCAGGGCAGTTATTGGGTGATCCATCCCCAGCTTCTGGCTGTCAGGGGTTTAGGAACACCCAGAAAAGTAGTTGTGTCCCTGACCATCTTGGCCAATAGCCATTGATGGACTTATGTATACATCATGAACTTACCAAACACTTTTTTGAGCTTAGTTATGCTTTTTGGCCTGAAGTGCATCCTTAGTAATAACTTCCACAGACTGACTGCATTATGTGAAGTATTTCCTTATGTTTGTCTTAAATCTGCTGCCTGTTAACTTCATTGGGTTATCCTTGGGAGTGTGATGTAAAAGGCTAAATAACACTGCCTTATTCACTTTCTCTACACCAGGGCTACTCCAGCTTTGGAAGCCCCTGAGGCCTCAATGATACTCACAACACATTCGCAGGACCGCAACTTAAGTGTGATTGCATATACATGCAAATAGTTTCTTTCACACTGATGGACATGAATACAAAGGATTAAGGCAAGCAAGGCAAGACTGCACAATACGCAGACCCCGTTTAAGTCAGTTGTGCTCATATTAATAAAATGCAATATTTACCCAAATTCTACCCATATAACAGCACTTTTAATGAGCAATGACAGTCCAGGAATTTAACTACTAAAATTCATATTAACAGAAGACCATTATATTGACTACTTTTTTCTTTTGGCTCCCACCTGCAGACTGTGTGTTGATTCCCGTGTAAACCCAAACCTCACCGTGGGCCGCAAACAGGCCACATGTTGAGTAGCCCTACTCTACACCATTCGCTATTTTTATAGACCTCTATCTTAACTCCCTTTAGTCATCTCTTTTCTAAGATGAACAATTCCAGTCTTTTCAATCTTTCCTCATATTGAAGCTGTTCTACACCTAGTCGTATTTGTTGCCCTTCTGTGTGCTTATTTTATTTCTAGTCTCTCTTGTTTGAGATGAGTCAATTAGAAATGCACTCAGTTTTCAAAGTGGATTTATTTAGTGTCATTATGATATTTTCTATCCCTTTTCTAATGGTTCCTAACATTGTTAGCTCTTTTGATGGCCACTGTGCATTGAGCAAATGTTTTTAGAGACCTGTCCCTGATCCCTCAAGATATTTCTTGAGTGGGGACAGCTAATTTTGTATGTCTAACTGACATTAGATTTTCCAGTGTGCATTACTCTGCATTTATCAACATGGAATTTCATCTGCAAGTTTGTTGACCAGTATCTAGTCTTGTGGAATCCCTTTTTAACTCTTCACAATCCACTTTGCCATTAGATATCTTGAGTTACTTTGTTTCATCTGCAACTGTCACCTAACTTTATTTACCACTTTTTCCAGATCATTTATGAATTCTGGTCCCAATACTGATCCTTGAGGGACCCCACTATATACCTTTCTGCATTGTGAAATCTAATAATTTGTTCCTACCTTTTTTCCACCTGTCTTTTAACCAGTTACTGATCCTGAAGAGGGAGTTTTCTCTTATGCTATGACTGTTTGTTTTGTTTAAGAACCTTTGGTGATGCACTTTTCAATGGTTTTTGTCTAGTCCAAGTACCCTTGTCTACATGCTTGTTGACTTTAAGAGATGGTTGTTGATTCTATTAGATTGGTGAGACGTGATTTTCTTTTCCAAAAGCTGTGTTGTTTCCTTACAAACATATTCTGCTTATCTGTGTGTCTGATATTTCTGGTTTTTATGATAGCTTCTACTAGCTTGCCTGATGCTGAAGTGAGACATACCAGTTTGTAATTGTGTCTGGAATCTTTGTTAAAAAATAGCATTACATTAGCTATTTTCCAACCAGAGTCTGATTTAAGTGATAGGTTACATATCAGTCATGCCTAAGTAACTGCCATATGATTTAAATGTTAGCATTGGGCTTTTTATATGAAACATATGGGAAGTTATAGGCCTGATCAAGTGTCCACATACTTCCTTGATATTTAACCTAAAAAATAAATTATATTTATATTAACTTTGTTTTTTTTCTCTTGCGTTGCAGAGATTCTAATAAAGCGTGTTGGACCATCTAATCTCTTAAAGTGAAACTTTTTGATATCAAGATTAGGAACAATTTTCTTCAGGATCACTATGTAGCAACTGGGTATCCTTCAACTGAAGTTGGTCCCTCAACTCAACATATTTGTGTTTTAAGGATCCTTGTACTTTCTGCAGTGAATTAATTGTTTTTTGTTAATAGAAAAAAAGTGGATTTCATGTGGTGCTTGCTAAACATTGAATCACCATGAGTAGTAATTTAGGAAAAGAAAAAGACTGTAAAGAGAAGGATCCAAAAGTCCCATTGGCAAAGGAACGGGATAAGGAGACTAAGGCCTCTGGAGGGTTTGGGAAAGACAGCAAAGAAAAGGAGCCTAAAACCAAAGGGAAAGATGCCAAAGATGGAAAGAAGGACGCCAGTAGTGCACAGCCTGGGGTAGCTTTTTCAGTGGACAACACAATAAAACGACCTAATCCAACCCCAGGCGCTCGCAAAAAATCCAGCAATGCTGAGGTTATCAAAGAGCTAAATAAATGCCGAGAAGAGAATTCAATGCGTTTGGACTTGTCCAAGAGGTCTATACACATGCTTCCATCATCTATCAAAGAGCTGACACAGTTAACGGAACTTTATTTATACAGTAACAAATTGCAGTCTCTACCTGCAGAGGTGGGCTGTCTTGTGAATCTGATGACACTGGCTTTAAGTGAGAACTCGCTTACCAGTTTGCCTGACTCTCTTGATAACTTGAAGAAACTGCGCATGCTTGATCTACGGCATAACAAACTTAGAGAAATTCCTTCAGTGGTGTACAGGCTAAATTCTCTTGCCACTCTTTATCTACGCTTTAATCGTATAACTACTGTGGAAAAAGATATCAAAAGCTTGTCAAAACTCACCATGCTTAGCATACGAGAGAACAAAATCAAACAACTACCTGCTGAAATTGGTAAGCATTTGCTCCATGACTTAAAGTTTGTGGTAAATCTTTTTTTTTTCCCTACTTTGTAATGTAGGAAGGTATACACAAATCACTGCTTTATGAAGTTGTTGTTATAGTTAATTATGATCTTCAGCTCTCAGCCACATTACCACAATGTTAGATTATGATGGGATGTAATCAATATGTTGTGTGTGTCTGTTAATTTAAAAAGATCTGTGGTCACACTTGATATTTAGGTTCCATTTATAAAGGGTAAGAAATTATTTATATAAGCACATAAGAGTACTACAACCACCTCAGTAAAATGTGTTATGGATGGTTACAAACTATATAAGTAGCTTTTGACATATTGGGCGCTGTAACAATCTATAACAATTGGTCAACCATTTATGGATCATCAGCTGCTTATAAATGGATAACTAATTTATGTATAAATGGAATCTGTTAGTGCTGTGAGCAGGTATTGCATGCATCATTACTAATGTAAACACATTTTTTGGATGAATGAAAAAAGTATATAACTTTAAAATAACTATTCTAAACTATTACGTATCTTATCTTTCAGACTTGAAAATAAATGGGTTAATGTAGTTTAGTCATTTCAAGCAGTGATTGATATATATATATATATGGTCATGCCTATTCTCTTTCAGAATATGATCTGAGGAAGTGGGTCTGGCCCACAAAAGCTCATCACCTATTAAACCATCTTGTTAGTCTTTAAAGTGCTGTATAGTTTTTCCTTTTGTTTAGCAAGATCATACTAACACAGCGCGCTCTCTCTACTACTGATTGATGTAGTAATATTCTAGAATTCTTAAGCAGCCTTCTAACAGGCCTTGCTTAAGGAAAACCTCTCTGTTCAGAAAACCATTTTATGCAATACTTTATGGTACTCACACAAATGTCTGAAGTGTATGCACATGTGAGTTTTTAAGCACAAGAATTTTTTGTGTATTTCCAATTTTAAAAATATAAGTACTACTTAATGCATTTTTAAAAACTTGAAACATCCAAAAGCAATTTAAAATAAATTCTACCTTTCTTCTAGTAATTTAGTTCCATTTTTTAGGCCAAGATTTTTAAAGATATTTAGGTGTTGCTACTGTCATGTTTGCATGGATTGTTTCATTTTCAGAGTTACTTAAGCCCTTAGAATAGGGATGTGACTAACTAGTCAACTATCGAATAAGTAAATGCTTATCAGATAGTAGACAGACTAGTCTACTAGTCGCTTCCTTCCCCCCCGCTCCCTTGCTGCCTCTATCAGAAGGTGGGAAGGAGGTAGAGAGGGTGCTACAAAGTGGCAGCGCCGCGTGGATGCTGGGGTCATCTGGGGACTCCCTTGCTGACCCCTGGCTCCCTGTGACACTGCCACTTGTAAATGCCTCATGGAACCTGACACTGTGCTCCCCGTGGCATTACAAAGCAGCAGCGCCACATGGAGCCTGGGTCAGCTGAGTCCCCAGCTGACCCTGGGCTCCATGTGACACTGCTGCTTTGAAACGCTGTGGGGAGCACAGGGCCAGCGGGGCTTGTGCTGGTTCCAAGAGGCTGTGGTTCTGTATTTTAAATGTAGTAAGAGCTGCCCACCTCTGACTACATTTAAAATGCAGAACCACAGTGATCCGGGACTGGTACAAGCTGTGACAGCTTGATCCCAGCTCATGCCATGTCCAGCACCCCTCTCCACAGCCAGCTTGGGCTGCTGCAGGTAGGGGCTGCTTTGTGGCAGCTTCCCCTACCCGCTCCTGGCTGCTCCTGATAAAGGCAGCAGCAGGGGGGAGAAGGGCCAGGCAGCACAGTGGAGACAGTGCTTGGGCGGGGAGGGGAGAAACCGGCTTCTAGGCCGGCTCCCTTCAGCACCAACTCCTGTTCCTCCTCCTTGCTACCGCTGATGCAGAGGCAGCAAGGTGTCGGGGTGGGGGGGAAGGAGGAAGGGAGCAAGTAGTCAAGTACTTGCTTAGGCTTATCAGGTATTCAAGTACTCAGCTACTCATTTACATCCCTAATAAGCACCTATAACAGTAACATACAACACAAATGTAGTTATGGTGCGAAACTGCAATTGAAACAGCATAGCTAGTATGGACACACTGCAGTGTTGATACTTACACTGTTGCTCTCCTTGATTGTTACTTCAAAATTCATTCATTCTGTAAATACTGCTGTAAAATGCAGCTGGTGAGTGTTGCATATAAAATAGTGGTCTCCAGCCTTTTTAATAACAAGGTCACTTTTTCAATTTAAGTGCCATGTAAGTGTTATCTGCTTAAACCAAGCACACAAGGGCCTTTTATAGGGGAAAAGGCAGTACGCTGTACTTATTAAGAATACAACAGTTGCATATGCTTTTCAATCTCTCTCTCTCTCTCTCTCTCTCTCTCTCTCTTTCTTCCCCCCCCCCCCACCCCCCCCGTCCTCGCCCCCCCTGTATCAATCTAGTGGTCAGCTAGATCGAACACAGAAGGAGAGCAGGGCCTTTGTTGGTCAGTCCGATGCTCTTCTGGAGTTGGTGGCAAGACAAACCCAAAGTTCCATAACAAAGCATCCTGCTTTTATAATCCTTTTCTCCGTTGAAATCAATGGATTCCTCTCTGTCAGCCTGTGACCGGAATGTTATCTCTTTGGTGTTAGATTTTCCAAAGCTCATCCTGTAATCAATCGTCTTTCAAGGGTGCTGACTCCGCTGTACGGCCATCAATCCGCCAATATCCGATCATCTTGTGAGTAGGGGTACGCATCGATGGTTATAGATGGTTTGACGCCGGGCCGTCTCGTTTTTGCCCACGCTCACGCCTCCTTCTTTGGCCATCTGGTTCTGAGCAATAACTTTTGCACCTTTATCTCAACACATACATGCCTCTTTCACACACAAACAATGTTTTACCAGGACTTCTTGAGGGAGGGCATAGCATCAATATCTGCAATGGGCAAAGCAAAGAATCAAACAATTAAGGCCTTAGCCTTCAACATTCTTCTTGTGTCATTAACAGACAAAATATCAAAAACTATTTTTTACTTAGGCCCATTTACTAAACTTACTAAACTTTAGGATAAAGAAATAGACATTCAACTAAAAGGACTTAATTTAATGAAATATTAAATGTGTATTAACATACACCTTATATTGCTATATTATTGCTACATCATTAACTACATTTACTATATTACTAAACCTAAAATACAAATATAACAAGAATAAAACTTTCAGTTCCAACATAAGATCTACCCCAAATTCATATATCATTGCTCCACTTCCTTCCCGCCCCGTCTTTGAGGCCTCATCCTGCTCACTCCATATCCTGTCTCCCCCATCCTCACTCACATTCACCAGATGGGGTAGGCGCTTGAGGTGCAGGCTCTGGTGTTGGGCCAAGGAGTTTGGAGTGTGGGAGGGGCTTTGGTCTTACCCCAGGGCGGGACATTGGGGTCCAGGAGGCGTTACATGCAAGCTCTGGGAAGGAGTTTGGATATAGGGGGCTCGCATCTGGAGCAGGAGGTTGGGTGTAGGAGGAGGTTCAGGGCTGGGACAGGAGGTCAGGATGTGGAATTAGTCTGGGCATGGTTTAACTGAGATGGCTTCTAGCTGGTGGAGCAGTGGGGTTAAAACAGACTTACTCCTGCCTTGGCCCTCATATGCTGCCCCTCATCCCCTGGTACTGGCCACTGCTTCCACTAGCTGCAGTTCCCCATTACTGATCAATACAAGCTGCAGAAGTAGTATCTATAGGCAAGGACAGCATGTGGAGACCACCTGCTCTGCCTGTCCCAAGGGCTGCAGGGGCATGCTAGCCACTTCAAGGAGCAGCAATTACCATAGGGATAATTACTCCAGTTAGGCATTTTAGAACTCGCTACTCAAAATATTAAATTTAAGCATGAGAGAGAAATGAAAATTATGCAATGCACAGACCAGTCAAAAAACAAAAATAACACACTTTACAACCAGTAAAAAAAGTAAATCAACCCCCCTCTCCCCCAAATGCATGTGTAGGGTTGGGAGATGAGAGGGAAGGACAGTGTATGTTTGTGAGAGTGACAAACACACAGTGTGAGAGAGACAGATTTGCATTGCCAAGTTCCCACTATCCCTTTTTCTCTTTGTGGAGACAGGGTACAGAAGTGGGGGAAGGAGGTTACATCCTGACATCAGCACCCCCCTGTTCTCCCTTCTACGCCCTGCACAGCAAGTAGGAGGTTCCCAGGGGGCAGGAGCAGCATGACAGTGGGTAGAGGAGCAACTCAAGTGCCAGCACTTGATAGCTTCCTGGCCAAACCAGTCAGAGGCTCCAAGATCTACGGGTAGATTATGATCTACTGGTTGGTGACCACTGATATAAACACATATTCTAAATCCTGCTGGAAAGTGATAACAAGTGGAGTTCCGCAAGGGTCTGTTTTGGGACCCGTACTGTTCAATATCTTCATCAATGATGTAGATATTGGGATAGAGAGTACACTTATTAAGTTTGCAGATGATACCAAACTGGGTGGGGTTGCGACTTCTTTGGAGGATAGGGACATAATTCAAAATGACCGTAGCAAGTTAGAGAAATGGTCAGAGGTAAACAGGATGAGGTTTAATAAAGAGAAATGCAAAGTGCTCCACTTAGGAAGGAACAATCAGTTCCATCCATACAAGATGGGAAGCGACTGTCTAGGAAGGAGCATGGCGGAAAGGCATCTAGGGGTCATAGTGGACCACAAGTTGAATATGAGTCAACAGTGTGACGCTGTTGCAAAAAAAGCAAATATGATTCTAGGTTGTATCAACAGGTGTGTTGTAATTAAAACTCGTGAAGTCATTCTGCTGCTCTACTCTGCACTAGTTAGGCCTCAGCTGCAGTACTGTGTCCAGTTCTGGGCGCCACATTTCAAGAAAGATGTGGAGAAATTGGAAAGGGTGCAGAGAAGAGCGACAAGAATGATTAAAGGTCTAGAGAACAGGACCTATGAAGCCAGGCTTCATGAACTGGGCTTGTTTAGTTTGGAAAACAGAAGAT